CCAACAGTTAGTACAGGACCTGCATCTTCTCCGATAAAAGTTGAACACACTACTAGTCTTGATGCTCTTAAATTAGAGTTCTCTCTTGTACAAAATTCCATCAAAGCCGGTAAGAAGGATCCTGCTATTGTTCAGCGTGGCCATGCCTTATAGTCTAAGATTCAAGAGACTAAGCAAAGACTTCAAAGTGACGCTGGGTTCAGATGAGAGTACTTGTCCGCCATTGGCCGGGAAATAAAGACAGAGAAGGTTTATGAGCAACAGCTAGTGCAGGCTAGTAGGACTGGAGAGGCTAAGATAATACAAGGAAGGAGGAGAGTAATGGAAAATGAAATATCTAAAATGACTAAAAAATAAATATTTGTGTTGATTGTTAGTAGCTGATAATTATAGAATTATTAATAAGTATTGTATCTGATTTATTTTTATTTACAAAGCAGTTAGATCTATAAATGTGTTATTGATTGTGATAAGATAATGCTACATGTATATGAAATATATTAATCACAAGTGGGTGTGTAACAGTGTAGATTACACATTACTCACTGCCAGTCAAGATTTATATTGTACTAATTCAGAAAGGTTACCTGGACAAGAAGCAATTCATGGTAGATCAGTATTCATTATGATGGTTCATTGCTTTTGTTTTATAGGATAAAGTAAGCAATGGTCATGCAATAGTAATATGTTTCTGATTTTACATGCTGTTCTAATGATCTGCTGTGATACACAAACTCTTAATTCCAACACAATAGAGAGTAAGTACTAATCTATTCTAATTTCAGATGATTGATTACATATGTATCTATTATCCTTTCTATCTTTAATTTCATTCATTCATCTGTGATACATAAACTCTTCTTGACAACACAATAGAGAGTAAGTACTAATCTATTTTAATTTCAGACGATTGTTTACATGTGTATCTATTGTCCTTTCTATCTTTAATTTCATTCATTCATCTGTGATACAAAAACTCTTATTTACAATACAATAGAGGGTAAGTACTAATCTATTTTAATTTCAAATGACTATTTACATGTGTATCTATTGTCCTTTTCTATCTTTAATTTCATTCATTCATCTGTGATACAAAAACTCTTATTTACAATACAATAGAGGGTAAGTACTAATCTATTTTAATTTCAGACGATTGTTTAATTCTATTTTTAATTTCATTCATTCATCTGTGATACATAAACTCATTAATTACAACACAATAGAGAGTAAGTACTAATCTATTTTAATTTCAAATGACTATTTACATGTGTATCTATTGTCCTTTTCTATCTTTAATTTCATTCATTCATCTGTGATACAAAAACTCTTATTTACAATACAATAGAGGGTAAGTACTAATCTATTTTAATTTCAGACGATTGTTTAATTCTATTTTTAATTTCATTCATTCATCTGTGATACATAAACTCATATTTACAACACAATAGGATGTAAGTACTAATCTATTCTAATTTCAGATGATTGTTTACATGTGTATCTATTGTCATTTCTATCTTTAATTTCATTCATTCATCTGTGATACACAAACTCTAATTTACAACACAATAGGAAGTAAGTACTAATCTATTCTAAATTCAGATGATTGTTTACATGTGTATATATTGTCCTTTCTATCTTTAAATTTATTCATTCATCTGTGATACAAAAACTCTTGTTTACAACACAATAGAGAGTAAGTACTAATCTATTTTAATTTCAGACGATTGTTTAATTCTATCTTTAATTTCATTCATTCATCTGTGATACATAAACTCATTAATTACAACACAATAGAGAGTAAGTACTAATCTATTTTAATTTCAAATGACTATTTACATGTGTATCTATTGTCCTTTCTATCTTTAATTTCATTCATTCATCTGTGATACACAATCTCTTATTTGCAACACAATAGAGCGTAAGTACTAATCTATTTTAATTTTAGATGATTGTTTACATGTTTATATATTGTCCTTTCTATCTTTAATTTCATTCATTCTTCTCAAACTCTTATTTACAACACAATAGCCAGTAAGTACTAATCTATTTTAATTTCAAATGACTGTTTACATGTGTATCTATTGTCCTTTCTATCTTTAATTTCATTCATTCTTCTCAAACTCTTATTTACAACACAATAGCCAGTAAGTACTAATCTATTTTAATTTCAAATGACTGTTTACATGTGTATCTATTGTCCTTTCTATCTTTAATTTCATTCATTCTTCTCAAACTCTTATTTACAACACAATAGCCAGTAAGTACTAATCTATTTTAATTTGAAATGATTGTTTGCATGTGTATCTATTGTCTTTTCTATCTTTAATTTCATTCATTTATCTGTGATACACAAACTCTTATTTACAACACAATATAGGTGGTAAGTACTAACCTACCTTAAGCCTACTATTTTTAGCGTCTACTAAATTTAGCAATATTAGCAAGAGAACTTTAAATCGCTAAATTAAATAGACGCCAAAATAATTATTATTCATTATAATGGTTATTATTTATAATTAATTTGGTTAAAAACGCTAAAATTAGTAACGCTAAACATGACTTTTGCTGATTTCGCTAAAATTAGTAGACGCAAATAATAGTAGGCTTAAGGTATTCTAATTTCAGATGATTGTTAATTACTTGTGTATCTATTGTCCTTTCTATTTTTAATCTCATTCATTCATCTCTGATACACAAACTCTTATTTACAACACAATAGCCAGTAAGTACTAATCTATTTTAATTTCAGATGATTGTTTACATGTGTATCTATTGTCCTTTCTACCTTTAATTTTATTCATTCATCTGTGATACACAAACTCTATTTTACAACACAAAAGCTTGTAAGTACTAATCTATTTTAATTTCAGATGATTGTTTACATATGTATCTATTGTCCTTTCTATCTTTAATTTCATTCATTCATCTGTGATACATAAACTCATTAATTACAACACAATAGAGAGTAAGTACTAATCTATTTTAATTTAGATGATTGTTTACATGTGTATCTATTGTCCTTTCTATCTTTTAATTTCATTCATTCATCTGTGATACACAAACTTTTATTTACAACACAATAGGAAGTAAGTACTAATCTATTTTAATTTCAGATGATTGTTTACATGTGTATTTATTGTCCTTTTTATCTTTAATTTCATTCATTCATCTGTGATACACAAACTCTTCTTTACAACACAATAGCCAGTAAGTACTAATCTATTTTAATTTCAGATGATTGTTTACATGTGTATCTATTGTCCTTTCTACCTTTAATTTCATTCATTCATCTGTGATACACAAACTCTATTTTACAACACAAAAGCTTGTAAGTACTAATCTATTCTAATTTCAGACGATTGTTTACATGTGTATCTATTGTCCTTTTTATCTTTAATTTCATTCATTCATCTCTGATACACAAACTCTTATTTACAACACAATAGATAGTAAGTACTAATCTATTTTAATTTCAGATGATTGTTTACATGTGTATCTATTGTCCTTTATATCTTTTATTTCATTCTTCATTTGTGATACACAAACTCTTATTTACAACACAATAGGAAGTAAGTGCTAATCTATTTTAATTTCAGATGATTGTTTACATGTGTATCTATTGTCCTTTCTATCTTTAATTTCATTCATTCATCTCTGATACACAAACTCATATTTACAACACAATAGGAAGTAAGTACTAATCTATTTTAATTTCAGATGATTGTTTACATGTGTATCTATTGTCCTTTCTATCTTTAATTTCATTCATTCATCTCTGATACACAAACTCTTATTTACAACACAATAGTATGTAAGTACTAATCTATTTTAATTCAGATGATTGTTTGCATATATATTGTCTTTTCTACCTTTAATTTCATTCATTCATCTGTGATACACAAACCCTTCTTTACAACACAATAGGAAGTAAGTATTAATCTATTTTAATTCAGATGATTGTTTACGTATCTATTGTCCTTTCTATCTTTAATTTCATTCATTCATCTGTGATGCACAAACTCTTATTTACAACACAATAGATGGTAAGTACTGATTTATTTAATTTCAAATGATTGTTTACATGTTTCCTTTCTATCTTTACTTTCATTCATTCATCTGTAATACACAAACTTTTTTTATGACACAATAGATGGTAAGTACTAATCTATTTTAATTTCAGATGATTGTTTACATATGTACCTTTTGTCTTTTCCGATTGATTCATTAATTATGTACATCACAGAAAGTAAGTATCACTTTATTTTGGTTTCAAATAATTTTTAATTTGTTCATGTTTGTTTTATAGAGGGGTGAGTCATATTCCTGCTAAGTTTGTTATCGCCTAGTTCCTTTTATTCAAGATGCTGCATACAGAAGAGCTCTTTTAAAAGGAGAGGTGGTGAATGTTGCTTATTCGCGTGTTCTTTTTCTGGGTACAGCAGGTGTTGGGAAGAGTAGTTTCAAGAATTCCCTTATGAAGTTACCATGGGATCCTAAGGCTAACAGTACCATCATATCTGATGTCAGCTGTGTCCGTCCCTTTGCTAAGGGATTGCTTAGTGAGCAGTGGGAAGCAGTTACTCATGAAGCTGAATTTGAAGCAATGGCACACTTGTTCTCTGCTGTCAGCCCAGGGTTTGATTCTGCTCCACCAATCAGTGACACTGTAAGAAGAAAGATAGATTCTTTCCTTGGTCTCATTGGTGTCAGCAGAGATAAAATGCATCACTCAGTTTCCATTGATCATTCTGAGCCTGTGAGAATGAAGCTAGATTCTGTCCTCAGTCAAGTTAGCAAATTTAATGTTGTTCAGCAATCTTGTCAGCCAGAGCCTCACCTTTTGATGCATTTTTGGGATTGTGGGGGTCAACCTGCTTTCCTTGAAATCCTACCAGTTTTTCTCACCTCTCGTACCACATTCCTCCTCCACTTTGATGCCTCTAAAGATCTCAACAGCAAATGGAAATCAGTCCATCATATTGATGGCACTCAGTATGATGGAGAAGAGGTCAATGTATCTACACTTACGTACATGCTCAATTGGATGGCCTGTGTTCACAGTCACTTAATGAAGTATGGGGCTGATGGAAGTATTTCTGATTATCCTCGCATGTATTGCATTGGCACTCATGGAGACTTGCTAACAGATGAAATGAAGGAACAAGTCAGGAGTGAGTTAATATCTCACTATAAAGATAAGGAATATGCCAAGTTAATATCTGATACCCTCATCATTGATAATACATCATCTGGTAAGGGTGAATCAGAAGATCCCAATATTGAAGTAGTGAGAAGTGCCATCATTGATATTACAAGATATAAGCTAATAGTAAAAACCCCAATCAGTTGGGTTCTCTTTCGTAAAGTTCTTCAGGCATTGGAGGAAAATATTATTAGCATATCGCTGGCTGAAGATGTTGGTGCTGTTTGCAATATTCCTCCAGAAGATGTACCTCTGGTTCTCTTATTCTATCATGATTTGGGATCTGTTCTATATTATCCTCAGCTAGAGGGTCTTAAAGAGAAAGTCATAGTTGATCCAAAGTTTTTTATTGATGCTCTTGGAAAGGTCTTTAGATTTCAAGCTAGCACTATACATGTCAGGGAGTGGGAGATATTTCACCAATATGGTATCCTCATACAACCACTGTATACAGCAGTCTGGAAGGAATGTGGAGACCTAAAGCCTGAAGATTTCATTGAAGTATTGCTACACTTTTGTCTTGCTGCTCAAGTCACCATTGAAGATCAACATATCTGCCCCTCACGACACAAGCAATATTTCATTCCTTCCATTCTCAAGCTGTGTCAAGATAATGCCACCGTAGCTACACACAGCAAGGAGGTTGAGGTTGCTTCACCACTTCACATTACCTTTGAAACTGGTTTTGTTCCTCCTGGTTTCTTCACTCGTTTTGTTGCTGTTATTGCTGCTCACCCAAGCACATTTCTGTACCTTGAGGAAGGAGTGTATAGGAATCGTGTTACCTTTCGTTACCAGGAGGGGAGGAATAGGAGCATTGAACATTTAACAGTAACAGATCAACATGATGCCATTCAGATCAATGTCCATCGTGCTACCTCTCGTTCTGATCCAGCTCCTCTTGCCAATATATGTCAAGATATCTTAGTTCTGTTGGAAGATTCTGCTAAAGAAGTGGAGAACATTCTTCAGAATTGCATTGGAAGAGGTTTTGAAGAATTACCCAAATATTCTGTATCAAGATCACTGCGTTACATCTGTGATGGCTGCCCTGTCTCTTCTAAGCTTCATTATCTCACACCAGCGAAGTATCAAACCAGTGACCTGGAGGTTACTTGCAGAATAAACACAACATATCGACCACTTACAGAGAAAGAAAAGATTTGGTTTACTGAAAAGGTATAATCATTGTACATTACCTTTGTATTATAGTATGATTATGGT